TGGACCAAGTTTGCCCAGGCCTGATTTAGATGCAGCCATGCCACAGTTCAGTGATATAGGATCCTGGGGTTTGAGCAAAGGAGACTCAAAAAATATGAACTACAGCTCCCAGGGTTCCGTAGCATGGAGGCAAAGCAGTTGGAAGTGGTGTCAAACTGCATTCATGCTGCAATAAAAGGCAGGGCGTTTAAACCGGAGTCAATCCGCATTGCTTGGAGAGGCCTGGGAGCGCGCGCTCTCTGTCTACGTTTCCCTCCCGCGCTCGCACTTTTGCGCCAACCCCTTGGTGTGTCTTGTCAGCCAGAGGAATCAAACAAGTTCCTCGTTCAGATCTGCCTGATCCGCCTGGTAACAGATCTATTCCCCTATTGGTTTATGCTAATTCCCGTTTCCTCTTGTCTCGGAGCCCGGTGGAAAAGGAGGGAGGGGGAAAGGAGGGAGGAGGGGGAGTTCCCTCCAGGAATTAAGAGCCAATTTCGCTTTAAGTGGGCGATCTCGCTCCGGCAAAGCTCGCCACACGCAGCAGCAGCAGCAGCAGCCGCAGCCGGTCTTTCTGGGCAGGCTGCTCTTCAGCTGGAAGGGGCGGAAAAAAAAAGGGAAAGGGGAGCACCGGAAAAGCCGGAGCTGATACTACCCCGCCGCCTCATAAATCAAGGGCTGCTGCCACACACCGGCGCGGGTTTTTATGAATGGAGAAACCACCCTGCTCTCCCTTTCCTCCTCCTCCTCCTGGCGTCCCCTTCTCTTCCCTTCCCTCGCAAAGGGGGAACCCACTCCGACAAAGCAAATATTGTTTGGGAGCAAGGAGAGGGGGGAGGGAGCAGCTGCCCATTGAGCGAGCTTTATATTTACCCCCCCCCCAAAAAAGAGCCCCCAATTAAGACATCCCCATTGCAGGAGCGCCAGGGCAAGCGAGAGGAGAGGCATGGGCACAATCCTCCCCCGGGATCAGAATAGAAGAACCTCCAAATTGGGGAAGTCCGGGTGATTCTTATGCCAAAACCAGGTCCTTGAATTGCATTGCTGTGCCTTTTCCGGCGATGCTTTCCAGAAGCATTCTCTCCTGACGTTTCGCCCACCTCTATGGCAGGCATCCCCTGAAGTTGGGAGGTCTGTTGGAAACTAGGAAAATGGGCAATCAATTGGGGGTTAATCTATCCGTGGAATGCTGGGAGGGGTTCGCCAGTCTTTGAAGCTGCAAGGCCATTCAATGCTAATCAAGTGAGGTTTAGATATCTGGAACGTCCACGGTGGGAGAAAGAACTCTTGTCTGCTTGAGGCAAGTGTGAATGCTGCAGTTGGCCACCTTGATTAGCATTGAATGGCCTCGCAACTTCAAAGACTGGTTAACCCCTCCCAACAAAGGATTCCCCCCAGGCAGGAAGCAGCCAGGCTTTGAAGCTGCAGGGCCATTCAGCGCGAATCAAGTGAGGTTTATATACCTGGAAGGTCCAGGGTGGAAAAAAGAACTTTTGTCTGCTTGAGACAAGTGTGAATGTTGCAGTTAGCCACCTTGATTAGCATTGAATACCCTTGCAGGATCAAAGCCTGGCTGCTTCCTGCCTGGGGGGAATTCTTTGTTGAGAGGGGTTAGCCAGCCTTTCAAGCTGCAAGGCCATTCAGTGCTAATCAAGTGAGGTTTATATACCTGGAATGTCCAGGGTGGGAGAAAAAGCTCTTGTCTGCTTGAGGCAAGTGTGAATGTTGCATTTGGCCACCTTGATTAGCATTGAATGGCCTTGCAGAATCAAAGCCTGGCTGCTTCCTGCTTGGGGGAAAAAGGGGGGGAGGTGTCAGACAGGCTTTGAAGCTGCAAGGCCATTCAATGCTAATCAATATTCACACTTGCCTCCAGCAGACAGGAGTTCTTTCTCCCACCCTGGACCTTTCAAAGATATAAACCTCACTTGATTAGCATTGAAGCTTCGAAGACTGGCTAACTCCTCCCAACAAAGGCTTCCCCAGGCAGGAGGCAGCCGGGCTTCGAAGCTGCAAGGCCATTTGATGCTAATCAAGGTGGCCAACTACAGCATTCACACTTGCCTCAAGCAGACAAGAGTTCTTTCTCCCACATATATAAACCTCACTTGATTAGCATTGAATGGCTTTGCAGCTTCAAAGACTGGCTAACTTCTCCCAAAAAAGGCTTCCCCATTCAGGAAGCAGCCGGACTTTGAAGCTGCAAGGCCATTTAATGCCAATTAAGGTGGTCAATTGCAACATTCATAGTTGCCTCGAGCAGACAAGAGTTTTTTCTCCCACCCTGGACATTGCACAGATATATAAACCCCACTTGCCTAGTTTCCAACAGACCTCACAACCTCTGAGGATGCCTGCCATAGATGTGGTCGAAACGTCCGGAGAGAATGATTCTGAAACATGGCCAGACACCCCGGAAATCGCACAGCAAGCCCAGCGATTCCGGCCAGGAAAGCCTTGGACAACACGTATCATCCTGGGAAGTTTGCATCCCAAGGCGTGCCTGGAATTTGCGGGGAGTTGCCTCGAGCTAGGCTCGGCTCCAGCCCAAGGAAGGCGCCCTCCCTGGAGGCAAGGCAGCGCGAGGGAGCCAGTCGCCCAGGAAGCCCGGGCTTGTGGGTGAAACGGGCCAGACCCACAAACCGGGGGAAAGGGAAGATCCCCGGAAGCCGGACGGGGCAGACTTCCGAGTTCCACCTCTCTCGCCCCCATTGACTTCCTTCCCTTGAGCCACGCGGCTTGGGGAATGTGTCTCCTGAAGTCAAGGCACAAAGGAAGCCCGCCCTGCCCCTTCCGAGACCCATTGCGGGACTCCTTGAAGTAGAATACAACTTTCCTTAATGTATTGTCGACTTTCAAGGCCGGAAACACTGGGTTGTTGTGAGTTTTCTGGGCTGTATGGCCATGTTCCAGAAGCATTCTCTCCTGACATTTCGCCTGCATCTATAGCAGGCATCCTCAGAGGTTGCTTCTGTAACGTGTCATGCAGCCCGGAAAACTCACAACAACTCAACTTTCTTTAATCCCTCTCTGCGCCTTTAATTCCTGCCAGAGATTCAACCCCAACAAACAGGTCGCTCTGCGGAAATGAATGGCTGATCCTTTCCCCATATGATGTAGGGGCCCATTCAAAGATTTGGGGCTGAAATCTGTACATTTTGGGGGCTCCAGCTGCCAGTTTTGGACCTACCACGTGGCGTTGAAGCCCCACCACGTTTCTCCTTCTAAGCTGAGGGGGGAAAGGAAGGGGCCTGAGGCTCTGGGAATGGTGGGAGTTGCACTCCAAAACACCTGGAGGGCCCAAGTTGGCCCAGGCCTGCTTTAAAGAGACGCTGCAACTTCCAGCTCTGCTCCCTCTCTCTCAATGCTGCCTTTGTTCCCCATCTTGGAAGGAGTAAACCTGGTTTCCAAGTGTGTTTTTGGATGGAAAGGGGGGAAATCAACCCCCCTGATCCCAAAGATCTGGCTGGCATTCTGCAGCCACGTGGTAGGTCCAAAACTGGCAGCTGGACCCCCCCCCCCCCAAGTGTCCAGATTTCAACCCCAATCTTTGAAGGGACCTCTATATCATATGGGAAAAGTTTGAGCCAATCACTGGGTTGCTGTGTTTTCCGGGCTGTATCACCCATGTTCCAGAAGCATTCCCTCCTGACGTTTCGCCTGCATCTATGGCAGGCATCCTCAGAGGTTGAGAGGTGTGTTGGAAACTTAAACAAGAGAATGTATTGTCGAAGCCTTTCATGGCCAGAATCACTGGGTTGCTGTAGGGTTTTCAGGCTGTACCGCCATGTTCTAGAAGCATTCTCTCCTGACATTTCGCCTGCTTCTATGGCAGGTATACCTCACAACCTCTGAGGCTGCCTGCCATAGATGCAGGCAAAATGTCAGGAGAGAATGCTTCTAGAACATACAGCCCAAAAAACCTACAACAGCAAAGGGACTCATCACACTAGAGAAAGAATCCACATTAAATCCGGTTTCTGCTTCCTGCAGAATTCTGGGGTTTGTAGTTTAGGAAGGAGCCTTTAACAGTCTCACTAAACTACAAAGAGAATTCTGCAGGAGGCAGAAACTGGATTTAAAGTGGATTTTTTTCTGTAATGTGATGAGGTCATAAGTGAGGTTTCTATGCTTTTGGAACATGGCCATATAGCTTAAGCTGACTGGTGGGGGGAGGAAGGGGCATGAGGCTGTGAGGAATGGTGGGAGTTGCACTCCAAAACAGGAGGTACAAACCGGATTTAAAGTGGATTTTTTCTCTAGTGTGATGAAGTCATAAGTGAGGTTTCTATGCTTTTGGAATATGGCTTTACAGTTTAAGCTGGATGATTGGGGGGGGGGGGTAAAGCTGTGAGGAATGGTGAGAGTTGCACTCCAAGTTGGTCCAGGTCTCCGGGCCTGAGGCTGTGAGGAATGGTGGGAGTTGCACTCCAAAGCAGGAGGCACAAACCGGATTTAAGGGGGATTTTTTTTCAATGTGATGAAGTCACAAGTAAGTGATGTTTCTATGCTTTTGGAACATGGCTATACAGCTTAAACTGGATGAAGTGGGGGGGGGGGGGGGGGAAGGGGCCTGAAGCTGTGAAGAAGGGTGGGAGTTGCACCCCCAAACACTTGGGAGGGCCCAAGTTTGCCCAGGCCTCAAGTTTGCCTGTGTGTGGCCGTGGCCTACTTCCCCCATTGTATTCTGCACCAGCTGCATAAAGCCCGCATTATTATCACCATCATCACCATCATTATTATTAAACATATCCTGCCTAATGCACTGGAAAGACAATTTGCTTCTTTTTCCCCCTCCCCGGGAAAAAAAGAGAGAGGGGGGGATCTTTAGTGCTCATTTGCATGGGTATGCAAAAGAGAGAGAGAAGGGGGGGGGGGGTAAGCGCCTTGCTGCTGCTGCTTCTCCTCCTCCTGCTGCTTGAACTGCGGCGAAGGGGAAGGCCTTGGAGGCGATGGGATGGCTTTAGGGCTCTGCCCCTTGCTTTTGGCTCCTCTCCCTCCCTCCCTCCCTCCCTCTCTCCCTCCTCGCTCGCTCTCTCCTTCCTTCGCATTCTTTGATCTCCGCTTAACAACAGTCACGTCACAAGAGGGGGCTCAGGCGGCAGGGTGGAAGTTTGGAAAGTTTCCCCGCAGCCTCCAGAGGGCTGGAGCAGCAGCAAGCGGTAGCACCAGCGAAGCGAAGCAGGAGGAGTCGCTGCTGCTGCTGCTGCAGGAGAGTCAGCCCAGCCAGCAGCATCCGAGCAACCAGGGAAGGAGAAGAAGGAGAAGAAGAGCAGCCTGGAAACAAGACTCCCTCCGGAGAGAAAAGAAGCAAAGCCTCGCAAGAACATCATAAGGAAGAGAGGAAGCAAGGAAGCACGCGGGGGGAGAGAGAGAGAGAGAGGCGAGGCGTCGGCATGGATCACCAGCTGCTCTGCTGCGAAGTGGAGACCATCCGGAGAGCCTACCAAGATGCCAACCTCCTCAACGACCGGGTCCTGCAGGCCATGCTCAAGGCCGAGGAGACCTGCTCGCCCTCCGTCTCCTACTTCAAGTGCGTCCAGAAGGAGATCTTACCATATATGAGGAAAATCGTGGCCACTTGGATGCTGGAGGTTGGTAACCATTCCGAGAGAGAGAGCGAGAGAGAAGGAGGAAAGGAATGGCAAGCTTGGGCTTCCTTGGCAATAGTCAATCCACCCTTGCTTGGAGAGAGAGAGAGAAAGGGGATTGCAAGACTAACTTAGTAATAGTCAAACCATCCCTGCAGAACCTCTGCTTGGAAAGAGAGAGAGAAAGGAGGTTGCAAGCCTGGGCAAACTTAGCAATAGTCAAACCAGCCCTGCAGAACCTCTGCTTGGAAAGAGAGAGAGAGAAAGGGGATTGCAAGCCTGGGCTTCCTCTGCCTGCCTCTCTTTCCTCTCTCCGGCATTTCCTCCACCCGAAGATAGCCTTTCCTCCTGGGCTGCTTTCTCCCTGCCTCCCTTTCCTCTCTTGCCTCTTTCCCCGGCGTTTCCTGCACCCGCAGCCAGGCCTCCTTTCTCTCGCTGTCACCTTTGGAGGCGAACTTTTGAATGAGCCCGAAAGGCAGGGTCCTGGGAGCGAAGCTTGGGCTGCTTCCTCGCCCAGGCGCCCCGGCTCCTGCCTTCCCTTCTGGCCTTTCCCTCGAGCCTCCCCGGGCCTCCCAGGGGGGGATTTTGATTTTAGATTTAATATCCATGGACACGTATGCAAGTGCTCTCCGTGCCAGTATTCTGCGCCATCTTTGTTCTTTTATTGCAAGGGTTTATTAATCATTAGGAGGCGAGAAACTTCCCTTAAGGGTGGGGGGGGGGTGTCCCTGGGCTTTGGGCTTGCAAACTTTGGGGAGAAACTTTTCTTTGTTCGCACAGAGAGAGAGAAAACCCCTGGTCTTCCTCTCCCCCCCCCCCTCCCCACCCCCGCCCGGAAGACGTGCTTGCTTTCTCCTGCAGAGACTTGTCGGCAAGGTCGCCCAGTACAAAAACAAGTGCAAATCGGGGTCCCCCTTTGGAGGAGGCGCTTCAAAGGGGTCCCATCAGAAGCAGCCGGCTTTGGGCTACATTTTCAGCCCTTTCCCGAAAAAATCCGCGCCCGGGAAGTATTTTTAATTAATTTTTGAAAGCCCCTCGGGTGGCAAATGTCGCACGTTGCTTCTCAAGAAGGGAGAGCTTGGAGAGGAATGGGGGGTGCTGGAGTTTGACTTCGGGGTGTCCCACCAGAGGATCCCCCGTGATTCTTCTCATGAGGGATCGGTAAAGAATCGCCCGGGGTTTGTTTTCAGCTACTTTTGGAAGCGCTGGTGATTTTTTAAACATTTTTTAATATTTTTTGAAAAGATGACGTCTGGGGAAAAAGCGTGCAGCTGCCTCTTCGACGCCACCTTTGTGTCTCGAGCGAGGAGGGGGGGAGGCAGCACCCAAGCCAATGGGAGCCAATAGGGGGCACCTCAGCTATACACCCCCCAAAAAATATCTCCAAACAGACCTACTTCTAACTACTTTGGGGGGTCGCTTCTTAATTTCGGGCTTTTCAAAAGCCTGTTCGCCTTTTTATTTCGCCTCCTTAGTCCCCGACCACGTTTTTCCAACTTCCCTTGCGACTTTCTCTTTCAGTTCTTTTCTCTCCTTGCACTCTCAACACATTTATTGCCTTGGTTCATTTGGTTTTTATAAAAGTGGGAAATTCATTTCATTGGATTTTCTTCACCATTCTTGTGTGGAAGAAAAAGTTGGTTCAAAAAAGTAAGGATTTGTTTCTTCTTGTTTTTCCCTTCCCCGTTTTTTTGTTTTGTTTTTTTCCCTATTTTCCCTTCAGGTTTGTGAGGAGCAGAAGTGCGAAGAAGAAGTCTTCCCTTTAGCTATGAATTATTTGGACCGATATCTCTCTTTCGAACCCCTTAAGAAAAGCCACTTGCAACTGCTGGGAGCTACCTGTATGTTCGTTGCCTCCAAAATGAAGGAAACCATTCCTCTCACTGCAGAAAAACTGTGTATTTACACTGATAACTCCATTAGACCCAGCGAATTACTGGTAATTTCGTACTTTTGTCTCTTCAGAGAACTAAAAACCCTCAAGCCACACTGATAAAGAAACCAGGCTGATCAATTCTTCAATTTCAGATCTCCTAGACAGATATCCTTCCTCTAATATTTAGGACTGAAAACTTCACGCGGTTTGCTCACTTTGAATTCTTTCCACCATTACCTTTACAAACTTCACTCCAGCGTGTGCAAATGGGCATATATGGGAAGCATATAATTGAATGAATATATATATAGAGAGAGAGAGAGTGAGTTTTCAAAGGCTTTCATGGTCGGAATCACTGGGTTGCTGTGAGTTTTCTGGGCTGTATGGCCGTGTTTGCTTCTGAATGCTTCTGGAATATGGCTATACAGCCTGAAAAACTCAGAAACAACCTATATGATCAGAGGTTGAGTACAAGAGTCTTAAAGCTCACCAATTCCAAGTTGGGAGGCAGTCCCATATACACATTTTTCAGAAGCAATTCCTAATCCCTTCAATAGGATATTTATTATTGTTATTGGGTTGCTGTGAGTTTTCCAGGCTGTATGGCCACATTCCAGAAGCATTCTCTCCTGACATTTCATCCACATCTATGGCAGGCATCCTCAGAAGTCTGTTGAAAACTGGGCAAGTGGGGTTGATATATCTGTGGAATAATGTCCAGGATGGGAGAAATAACTCTTGTCTACTTGAGGCAAGTGCAAATGTTGCAATTGGCCATCTTGATTAGCATTGAACAGCCTTGCAACTTCAAAGCCAGGCTAACACCTCCCAACAAAGTATTCCCCTAGGCAGAAAGCAGCCAGTCTTTGAAGCTGCAAGGCCATTCAATGCTTATCGGTGTTACCAATTGCAACACTCAATCTTGCCTCAAGCAGACGGGTTTTTTTTCTCCCACCCTGGACATTCCACAGATATATAAACTAATTTCCAACAGACCTCACAACCTCTAAGGATGCCTGCCATAGATGGGGGCGAAATGTCAGGAGGGAATGCTTCTGGTACAGCCCAGAAAACTCACAGCAACCCAGTGATTCTGGCCAGGAAAGCCTTCCATTATTATTGTTATTGTTGTTATTATTATTGGATTTATTTTATTATTATAAAGTTTATTATTACTAGATTTTATTATTATAAAGTTTATTATTAAAGTTTATTATTTATTTTCAAATAAACCTGCACCGGGATCAGACTTTGGCTCTGTCATTTTGGCGATGTGGGCAAATCAGTAAGCAAGTATTGGGGGGGGGGGGTTTCTCCAACCCACCGGTAGGCAGCTGCAGCCCACATTGTGTGGTAGATTAATTGAATGAAAATTCCCTAATATGTTAAATCCTTATTATGAACTCCCAAGAAGGAGAAATACAGGAGCAGGATTGGGAGGGGGGACGATGGGCCTCTGGCACCCTCTTGTGGTGGAAACTGGATCACATGCTTGGTTAATGGAACAGCTGGGTGATGATGGTGCTGGGGGAAAAGAGGGGGGAGGGAAGTGAATTATGTAATTTTTGTGTAGAAAGGCGCTTTTACCCGCCTACTTCTGTGTTTGGCAAGAGCCACCCCAAAATAAAAGTTTCCCTAGAATAATGGTTAGGGCAGGAATGGGCAAACCTGGGCCCTCCAGGTGTTTTGGACTCCAACTCCCAGCATTCCTAACAGCCTCAGGCCTTCCTTTCCCCCCTCAGCCGCTAAGCAGCTGAGGGGGAAAAGGAAGGGGCCTGAGGCTGTTAGGAATGCTGGGAGTTGGAGTCCAAAACACCTGGAGGGCCCAGGTTTGCCCATACCTGGGTTAGAATAACTACAAGTTTTGCACTTTTCACTGCAAAGGGCTTTTGTAACCATGGTTTCTCTCTCCTTTCTCTTTCTGTCTTCTCTCCCTTCCCCTATATAGCAAATGGAGCTGCTCCTGGTGAATAAGCTGAAGTGGAACCTGGCTGCCATGACCCCTCATGATTTTATTGAACACTTTCTAAATAAAATGCCTGTGGCTGAGGACAGCAAGCAGATCATCCGCAAACACGCCCAGACTTTTGTGGCTCTATGTGCTACAGGTATGATGAGCCTTGCACCCTCCAAAACAAAAAAACAAAAAACGGCGTGTTGCGTGTTTCCGTGTTGCCCAGCAAACACACACCCTCTTCCCTTGCCCACTGCCCAAAATCCCTTGTAAAATTGGGAGCTAAAATGGGAAGCTAAATGTCAGCATAGATTGTTATGCTTGGTGCTCGTTTTACTCAACCTGGATTACTTGGCCCAAGGTGAGTTGTGTCAGAAAAGAGATGGTATTGCTATTCTTTGGGCTTTTGTCAAAGCCCCTCTGTTGGTTTCAGAGTTTCGTGGGATAAGTGGTAGTGTTTGTTGCACAATCTGAAAGAAATGCTGTCGGTTGTGGGGTTTCAAGTCTCTGAAATCTGCCAAGGAGACCCTAGGGTTGGTAGGCCTTTGAAAGGCCTTTTTGTTCTTGTCTGTGCTGCTTTGCAGTCTTCGGGGGTAAAGGACGTGTATCTGCTTTCCCTGGAACGTTTGGAAAAATGTGCCCCTTCCTGCTCCTTCCCAGTCCTCAGAAATTCTGGCAAGGAGAGCGCAAGGAAATGTGCACAAACTAAAGCTCTCTGGCCATGAGCGAAATCTCTGCGTCCGCACCCAGCTTGACCACGTGCTCTCGGCTGAAGCCATGTGCTCTTGAAGCCTCGGGAGGAGCTAGAGACACCCGACTAAACTCCAGGATTTCACAAAGAGGCCTGGTTTGGGGTTTCAAGGGCACAATCTGTGCTCAGCTTGTAATGTCCACACTCTCTTGCACCCGGTCCCTATTTCCCCCATTGAAACTTTCTCTTGCCTTCCTAGACAAGTTCCACCTTGTCTCCTGTGCTATGCTAATAATATAATGTAATATAATATGATATATTGTATATACATATAATATCTGTAATATTATAATGTAATGCAATATAATACTAATAATAATAATAAAATGATATAATTATATATTTATATTACATGTAATATTAGTAATAATTAATATAATGGTATAGTACAATATAGTAATATTTAATGCAGATATTGTACTATGCTAATAACATATATTGTGTGTGTGTATATATATATATATATATACATACACACACACATACATACTAGCTGTCCCCTGCAACACGTTGCTGTGGCCTCATGGGGGTTCTGTGTGGGAGGTTTGGCCCAATTCTATCATTGATGGGGTTCAGAATGCTCTGTGATTGTAGGTGAATTATAAATCCCAGCAACTATAACTCCCAAATGTCAAGATTCTATTTTCCCCAAACTCCACCAGTGTTCACATTTGGGCATATTGAGTATTCGTGTAGAGTTTGGTCCAGATCCATCATTGTTTGAGTCCACAGTGATCTCTGGAGGTAGGTGAACTACAACTCCAAAACCAAAGGACACTGCCCACCAAACCCTTCCAGTATTTTCTGTTGGTCATGGGAGAACTGTGTGCCAAGTTTGGTTCAATTCCATCATTGGTGGGGTTCAGAATGCTCTTTGATTGTAGGTGAAAATCCCAGCAACTACAACTCCCAAATGACAAAATCAATTTTTTGAGTGAAGGACATACATTGGGTTGTTAGATGTCTTGTGTCCAAATTTGGTGTCAATCTGTCCAGTGGTTTTTGAGTTCTGTTAATCCCACAAACGAACATTACATTTTTATTTATATATATATTATATATATCTCGTAAGCCGCTCTGAGTCCCCTTCGGGGTGAGAAGAGTGGCATATAAATGTCGTAAATAAATAAATAAATAGTCTTCAAACAAGAAGACAGGGTGTTGAGCCAGAAGCGTCACATTCCTGATTTTCTGGTGGACTGGCTGGTTTTTGGGGAAGGGGGAGCAAGCTAAATAGAAAAATCCACTGGAGACCTTTTAAAAAGAAAGAAACTGCTCTCTGGTGGCAAAAAAAGTTGTAGAATGGCCGAAGAACAAAGAAGCAAAGTCTGCCAGAGCACATGTTCCTTTGACAGGAAGCTTCCAGTGTTAACTCTCTAGGATCCAATGTCAGAGAATAATTGGGGGGGGGGGGGGGTTCAGGTATGATTCCTATCCTCATTGGCTATACCAGCCAAGGCTGACGGAGGACCACATGTTTCCCACTCCAGTCCTACCTGATGCTTTTAAAGAAAGCCACGTGTACCAAGATGGAGTAGATTGATTTCATGCAATGCAACTCATAATAGGAAACGTAGTCCCAGATGAGCAGGGGACACCTTTTAGCTTAACTTCAGAATTGTCTTAAGATCAGAAACCTGGATTATATTTAAAAATCAAAATTTTAATTTTATCATACATGAATGAATTTAGTGCAAAGGCCCAAGAAAATAACAGGCTGCACATTTATTTATTTATATTTATATTTACACTTTTTTCCCCTGCAGCCAATTCTGATTGTTTATTTACTTAACTTTTTTTTTTGAGGAGCCAACCTTTTAGTTTGAGTGACCAGTGAATCTCAACCTGTGGGTCCCCAGATGTTTGGGCCTTCAACTCCCAGAAATCCTAACAGCTGGTAAAGTGGCTGGGATTTCTGGGAGTTGTAGGCCCAAACGCCTGGGGACCCACAGGTTGAGAACCACAGAGTGAGGGCCCTTCCTTACAGCCCTATATCCCAGAATATCAAGGCAGGATATCCCACATTATCTGAGTGTGGACTCGGATAAGCCAGTTCAAAGCCATATTTTGGGATTTTCTGCCTTGATATACTGGGATATAGGACTGTGTGGAAGGGCCCTGAGTTAAACTTAAACATGTTAGAAAATTCAAAGACTTTGGAGTAATGAAGTAAAGCCCATTGGTGGGACAAGCCTTCTTCAACGCTATAGCAAGAACTTCATATCCTTTTTATTTGATTGATTCTTGTGCTCATCCAGCCTCCTTTTTCAAATACGGGGATGTTTAACCTGAATTGTCGCACTGGCAGAAATAGTTCCACAAAGAATAGTTCAAAGGTTGGAGTCTTGCAAAGAGCCAAGTACTTTGATCTGCTGTCAATGTTGTTGTGTTTCTTTTTAGAATTTACCGCTAGAGGCCTATCTTAAACATTGTTCTAAATGCCATATGTAGAGCTGGAAAATGAATACAAACCTTTCCCAGAAGGTTTTTTACACCCTTTTAAAGGAAGTGGGGAGGTCAACAAGGGATTCTTCCTCTTCCTATAACCCCAATAAACAATGCTCAATAGGATTTTATATTGTTGGATTTGTCCTTAGAGAATCTTTTAAAATGAATTGACTATGAATGCAGAGCCCCTGGGTGCACAGTGGGTTAAACCGCTGAGCAGCTGAACTTGCTGGCTGAAAGTTCATCAGTTCGAATCCAAGAAGTGGGGTGAGCTCCCACTGTTAGCCTCAGCTTCTGCCAACTTAGCAGTTTGAAAACATGCAAATGTGAGTAGATCAATAGGTACTGCTCAAGCGGGAAGATAATGGTGCTCCATACAGTCATGCCATCCACATGACCTTGGAGGTGTCTATGGACAACGCCTGTTCTGCTTAGAAATTGAGATGAGCACCTACCCCCAGAGTCAGACACGACTAGACTTAATGTCAAGGGGAAACCTTTACTTTATGAATGTTTAGGCAAAGATCAGGGAAAGAAGACAAGATGCACGCTTTGCCATGGACTGGACTGGATTTGCCATTTTTTGTGCTGTTCTAATTTGCCAACCTTTATCCTGGATGAGTTGCAAACTTTCTCTGTTTGCAAATGGTCAGACTCCATTAAAAGCCCATTGCAAGTAAAGATCCCTTTTAGCTATTGGAGATGGTTTGAAGAAGCAAACTTCTTTGAAGTGGCTTTGCTTTAAAGATGTAAATAATGAAAGAAAACAATGAAGGTGGGGATAGGGAGGAAAGTTGGAAGATTTCTATGAGCGAGGTTTTGTTCCCAACATAAAGAAGATTACAAGCCAAGGTGATACTAAAATGGATTTCTTTTTATTTATGTGCCTCCTTCAGCTGTCTGCCTAACCCAAATGGATTTGCTTTGTAATTTTTTTTGTTTTGTTTTGTTTTGAATATGTTTTCACCAAAGGCTCCTTTTGTGCTGCTGGAGGCTTGGGGCGGAAGGAGAGGAACAAGAAGGGGGAAGAAAAATCCTTGAGCTGTTTAGCCTAATGAATAGGGCCCTGGCATGGTTAGGCAAAGGAAGGAATAGCAGGAACGAAATGAACTTCATTGATCCAAATTGAGACTGCTGCTAAGGGATTGTGGAAGCAAGGCGATCAATAGGAGCAAGTGGGGGAGGTGGGGTAGTTTGTTGTCTTCCTCTGGGCTGTCTAAACATAATCAGGTCCCCATGGGGAGGATTTCTGAGGATTCCTGGTTGTGATTTCTTTTTATTTTGGGAGCGAAAAGGTGGGGGGGGGGGGGAACCTTTTGAAATGGGTTTGCCACAATTCCACTGGAAGTCTCAAGGTATGTGACCAGTTGGAACCTGTTGCATCTTGCAGCCGGTGATTTATGTTCAGAGGTTTGATTTGACTCAATGAAAAGATTTTCATTCATAGCCCCCAGCTCTCCAGACGGATGGAATTGCTGCTCCATTTAAAAAGGAAAAAAGGGGGTGACTTGCCTTGTTAGGAATTTTTCTCTCTCTCGAAGCACTACAGCGCCTAGATGCTTGCTTTGTCCTCCCTTCAGGGTGGCTGGCATTCTTCTCTCTCCTCTTTCCCCCCCCCCCCACCCTCCCTCCCTCCTTCCTCTCTTTTTAACAACACTGAAGTTGTTTATTCTTTTTGGATGAAGTCTCAGATAGGCTACTGGGGATGTGTGCTTCAATTGAGGGGGCCCCTTCCCCATTGTAGCTGTGTCAGGTCTAATTCATCTCACCGAAGCCCCCTTGTTCCTGAGCGTTCAATAGCGCAAGATGAGGCGATGGAGGCTGACAATGATGCCACACTCTTCACTTCGGGGCATCCAATTACAGCCGAGCAGGGCCCCCCTGATTAATATGCTGAAATTAGTGGTCTCTGCCACAAATAATTCCTTGTTGTGTTGCAACAAAAAAGTCTGTCCATGCCGCTTGTTCAGAGTGGTTATGAGGGACAGACACAAAACCCAGCCATTTAAACTTCATTATCACTCTTGGAAAGAAGGAGGGTGTGACCAGGAATGGGTGTTCTTGTTTATCACGGCTTTAAAGGAAAATGCTCCACAGATGCCAAAAATGACAATCAGTTTTTGTGATTGTGTGAATCGGGCCCATTTGGAGCCTTATTTTCCAAACATGGGGCATTTTGTTCCAAAATTAAGGGGAAACCAGTGAAGTTAGTCTGGATGCATCTACATTGCAAACGTGATGCAGTTTGGCACCACTTTCATTGTTACGACTTAATGCTGTGGCATCTAGGGAGTTATGATTGGACCTCATCACACTAGAGAGAATGAATCCACTTTAAATCCGGTTTCTGCCTTCTGCAGAATTCTGGAGTTTGTAGTTTAGGAAGGAGCCTTTAAGAGCCTCACTAAACTACAACCCCAGAATTTTGCAGGAGGCAGAAACCAGTTTCAAAGTGGATTCATTTCTCTAGTTCAGTGAAGTACATGGTTTGGTGAAACACCATAACTATTTGGGAGAGAAGGCCAAAAATCTAAAACTACAGCTCCCATTTTTTTTGTGTCAGAATCGACTTGAGAAACTGCAAGTCACTTCTGGTGTGAGAGAATTGGCTGTCTGCAAGGACGTTGCCCAGGGGATGCCCAGCTGGATGTTTTACCATCATTGTGGGAGGCTTCTCTCATGTCCCCACATGGGAAGCTGGAGCTGAGAGATGGAAGCTCACTCCATCTTGTGGATTTGAACCGCCAACCGTCAGGTCAGCAGTCCTGCTGGCACAAGGGTTTAACCCATTGCGTTACTGCAGCTCCACATCGCCCATGATTCCATATCATTGAGTCATGCCAGTTAAAGTGATGTCAGATTGCATTATTTCTACAGTGCATCTCTCACTAACACTGGAAAAATCAAAAGTCAAACACTGGACAATTCTGTCAGTGTCATTGGCCTCTCAAATGCCATTGAAATGAAACTTGAAGATTTGGCTAGATAACAGTATATTCAGGATATGCCACTTGGTGCCTTCATAATCTCAGCCAATAGTTCATGGACTAAAAACTAATCCAAACTTCTCAAGCCAGTTTAGTTTTTGCACATACGTTATCGATCAGCTTTCCCCAGCCTGGTTCTACATCTCCTGCCATCCACCTGTGATTCACATCATCCCCAGCATGCATGGCAGGGAGCAATGGGAGATGTCCAATAATTTCACCAAATATTGGAAGGAAACATTTAATATTTGGTTCTTTGGAGTGGGTAGCTACTCCAGTATTTAAATACTGATACGTTTTTGGATTTTCTTAACTATCTCAAAAAAAACAAAAAACAACTCCCACTGCAAAAAATACTGCAGTTATTTCCCGGAGAAGTTTTCGGATGCTTAAACCTGTATACTTTAAGATGTTTGGGACATCCACCTCCCATTAATCACCAGTAGAGAAGGGATTATGGGTATCAAAAGTCCACAACGTTTAATGGGCCAAATCTCACCGCCGTTTATTTAAAAAACCATAGTGTCCAATCCTAAGTGAGTGGCAGAGTGCTGCCATCAGCAGAATATGGGAGAGAGCAGTTCCTCTTTGAAGCCTCCTACGCAACCTCAGAATCTGATCTGGAAAGCTAGAAGATGCCACCCAAGTGAACAGAATTGGCAGAGGTCTGCAGGGAAGATTGGGAGGGGAAATTCCCACTGAATGAACAGAAATCCACTGAGGCCACTTTGGATTGCATTATAAGGGAGGAAACAAGTAATCCTGATGCTATTTGGCTGATAAAATACTTTCACCATATCGGTTTTATGTTGTTAAGTTGTTTATGTTTTCACATCTCAATTCTGCACCCATACATTCATCTCCATTTGGATGAATTTCTGTTTACAATTAAACCAGTAGTATTTACAGTGTATTCAGATGTTGTCTGTTGACATAAAAGCCAATGTTTTGTTGACAGTTTGGGAATTGGAGATGCAGATTTATATCTGTTGCAGTCTGCAGAGAGTATTTCCTAAACGGATGTTCATAGGTTGGCATTTCTGCTTTCACTTCAGTGAATCCAGTTCCCTTTCTTGTAATCCTTGGTTTTGGTGATGGCCATGAATGTAACGTAATATGTCTGCTTGGATGAAGGTGGCATTACTTGGTGATGGTGGTGGTATAAGAAGGAATAACACTGGATGACAGTTCCAAGCCAAGCAATCTTGGGAGTGGCTTTAACAAGACCTACAGCAGTGCCGTCTGGAAGTGGGCCCAGGCTGTTGTCAGCATGGTGTCACATCAGAATGTAGTTGATTGTCTGCCAGTTCTTGGGACCCCCTTCACTTAGTTATGCCAGATTTGCATTAGATCCCTGCTGCCAGGATAGAGAGCAGTCACCGATAAGTGGAAAGGTTAATGCCAAACATTTACAGGAGGAAGTGTCAATTTAATTAGCTGGGGGTCCACTTCTGCTCCCATATTTGCGGAAACCTGCTTTTGTTAAGCGGGACTGATTTTTCTGACATTTATTTTTGAAGAGTGTTCAGATCTTTGGCTGGTGTTTGCAGACAAGATTAAATTCAGTGGGGAAATACTTTTTGGTCAGCATGGTGGTTGACTGAAGCCCTAAGCCCTCCAGTCGCCTCCCAAGTTCAGTTGGAGTAAATCCGATTGAACTTAGTGCGGTGTGCATCTGAGTATATACGCAATTGGGTGGCTCAATGCCGTTTTGGATATTGCCCATTAGTGAAAAGAAGTTGTGTTTGAATATAAAGAAAAATTAGAAAACTAAAGGTAATGATCTGAACAATGTTAAGATAATATTAATAATAGTAATCTTGATTTATATCCTGCCACCATCTCCCATAGAGACTTGGGGCAGCTTACAACATAGCACACAATGGTGCCATGCAACACATAAAGACCCAGATTCAGTGTTGGTTCCACTATCAAACCCATAATAATAATAGTAAGACTTTATTTATAGCGCACCCTCTCTCCCCAAGGGACTCAGGTGGTTATTGTAAGATGATTGATGTATCGATTTACTGTACTTCTAGACTTCCTGATAAATTATCTGGGAAGTACATAATTAGTATGTTAAAATTAAAAATGTAAGCAGTGAAAAATGATATGGCACATAAGAAAGAAATGACATTTTCAAGTACTATCATGATCTCGGCTCAATGCAAAATTGTAGTCAAGTTTCAAAGATACAGCTTATAGTGCAGTAAGATATCTAATAAACCATATACTTGTGCAATAAAGTTCTATCTACTTAATTTATTGATGCAAACAAAATCTGTAACTAATCCTACTTATATTAATAGAATGGTTTCTGCATGTATATTTACAGTAATAACATTTTCCAGACCAGAAATTTTCAGGGACCTGTCCTAGAACATCAACATGATGTCTTCTGGGTGTGTTGGACAACAATGGAAGTGGTTGAATATAATAGAAATAGTGGAAAGAGGACAATTGCCTAAGAACAGAAGGCCTAGATGCTTAAGATTGCAAAAGCCTGCTTCACAGTGTTTAAGATAATTTAGGCCCTTTGCACACAGTTGAATAAAATCCCACATTTTCAGATTTGAACTGGGATATATGGCAGTGTGGACTCAGATAACCCAGTTCAAAGCAGATATTGTGGGATTTTCTGCCTTGATATTTTGGGTTATATTGCTATGTGGAAGAGGCCTCAGGTTGCATCTTTTTAGGTTGTTAATGGGTAATCCTCACTTACTTGTATTTGTAAGACATATTATATAAACAATCTGATTTGTTTCTTTGTCTTCTCTCTTAACAGATATTAAGTTTATTTCGAATCCACCTTCCATGATTGCCGCTGGTAGTGTGGTAGCAGCTGTGCAAGGTCTCCATCTTGGAAACACTAACACATTTCTCTCTTACCAATGCCTCACACATTTCCTATCAAAAGTTATCAAATGTGACCCGGTAAGTGAGTTTTGAAACACCACTCAACCTACTGTTGTGATGCAATGTAATGATATAATGCTCTGTTGTGGGGTGGGCTAAAAGCAAGGACCAAAAGTTATTTTCATATGTTGACTTCATATTTTTCCAATGGTTGCTATATACATGAGTTGATAGAAGTCACATTGGTTAATATTACTTGGGATGAATACTACCATCTATTCTTAGCTTTCTAGTGAAAAGAAGACAAGAAAATTAAATAGAAACTCTTAAATCAAGGCTATATTGATTGGATTGATAGGGAGTTAAGCTGTAAAAGAAACAATAGTTGCAATAAACAGACCTTATGGTGTTTAATGGTATCTTTATTTTTGACCACTCCTACAATTCTTTATAATGCCAAATGAAATGGAAGAAAAAAGCACTCTTAAGGAGGTTCTAATTATCCGATAGTTTATTGCATGGTAGACCCAAACTGTAGATAATCCTGAATTGCCTCCTCTTCTCTCCTGCTCCCCCCCTTTTTTGTTGTTGTACTTGTCCCATGGTCTTGGGAAGAGGTAGATGGTCCTCCTAGAACTGTCCTTTCTTTGCCCTGCAACTTCCTGAAGATGCTCATCAGTAACTAGTGAGCAATAAACCTTTCATGAATGAATGGGCAGGAAGGGAGCCTACAAGGGAGAACTAAAGTCAATGATCCATGCCCTAATGGTGTGTGAAGTTGGGGCAGAGTGTAGCTTTGTACTGAAACAATGTGGAAACCCAATAAATAGATGCTTGAAAAAGGTTCTTGTGAGGTCTCCCAAGTTCCAACAATGAGTCCAATAAAGTCAGCCCTGTGGCTTGCAACCAAATGTTTGAGGCACAACAGAAGCCTTTCTCAAGTAAATAAATAAATATACAAAATCTTAAGTATGGAGGCATGTTTTGTACTAATCAAACTTAGTTGCCTAATTATGAATTAAGACTTCATAGTGATTGGAACATAGTGTTTTGGTTGCCAACACTTGCTCTGCTGTGCATTATTTGTGGCTTTCAGGTGATGATCATTTACCTTTGCAGTGTTGTAGCATGAACTAGTAGTTCTGCAAGTTCAGGTATGCTCGGTCCAAGCAAGTTGTTTCATGAATTGTTTGCTCAGGCCCATCTCTTGTCTGCAAAGTAAAAGAATGATTTTCCAAGACAACCTGCACAAGGTTCTGCTAAATTCACTTTCTATTTACTTTCAACATGCTACCAAATTTGAAATCAAAATTGTTAGGTCCTACTAGAGCAGTGGTTCCCAACTTTTTTTGACCAAGGACTTCTCTCCATTAGTACCGAAAGGGTTACGAATCTGTTTTCGGCCAACTATAGATTCGGGTTAGTTATTTAGGGTGCTGATTCAGAAAATTGCATTGAATACACCACATCAGCTCTAGTTTCTGATGCAGATCATATGCCATCCAGTAGTCACCACCTGCTCTCCCACAAAAAACCATATTTAATAAGCCTCAGCACTATAAGAGGGTTTTGCAAGACCAGTCGTTCAGTCGGGGACCATATTTTAGTTCTTGTGGACCACTGGTGGTTCATGGACCACAGGTTGAGAACTACTGTACTAGAGTAAACCTATTAAATAAATGGATTTGCAGTAAACGCAGATTCCATTAATTCATTGAGTTTACTCTTAAGATGTAGCCTGCTAACTCAAGTGGTGTGTTTTGTTTGGTGGAAATAAATTCTGCTGAAAACCACAAAACTTATTGTTACATGATGGGCATACGATTAAGATGCAGTGCTGGCATCTCCTTGGTTCATATTCAGCCAACTCTTTGTCTTGCTTCCAAAAGGGTTTCATTACCTTGTGTGAAGGGTGCTCATATGTGATGGATAGTGAATCCTATCCTAAGGATGATTGTATGGCAATTGTCAAAATTATTTCTACTGGGGTTTCATTGGATCCAGTGGTGGTGACTTTTGAATTAGATGGTTGCACCTGAAGAGTTGTGTTTGTCTGAATTCTCTGCCTGGGCATTAGGCTCTTTCAAATGTTGAAATAAATATGAAATTGATATTCCAACACTAAACCTGTACACCTTTCATTCTGTCAGCAAACATTGTGAGTTTCTTCCTGTGTATGTGGCTTTTACCCAAGGACTTAAGAGCAACCAAAGTGACCTGCCCTGTTGTACTTATACTGACTATCTGATTTGAAAAGGAAGTAATACTTAAAACATTTCTGATATGTTAGACTGAATTAGATCATATCACCCGGAAGATCTCTGAACCAGGTGGAACAGTGCATTTGTATATGACCTGGTTAAGGTCAGATCTTTTTTTCAAAGAGGAGTTTTGTGGCTGAAAACAAAGGCTTGGATAGAGATGTACCATTCTGATTGTAGAAGGCATCTCTCATTTACGGAGGGACTACTTCATGCCAAGTGTGTCACATAAAGAAAAGCAAAACTAAATCCCAAAGTATTATGTTATCCTGATCTCTTGCTTTCATGAAAGTATGATAAATGCTGTGGAGGATGCTTCTTACATAAAGTGAAGTGTGAATAGCAGGAAGAGTGAAAAAAAATGCAAACACCAAATGCTTTCCTGGTACTCAGGATTCTTGGCAACCTGTGGTCATTTGGACAGATTTGGCTTCTTTGGGTGGGCTGTGCAACAGGCCTCTCAAGTCATCAAATTAATTGCCCCTTCTCTTGATGGTGGGAACTCATCAGAATAAAGTATTGGGTTGGGCTATTGAGAGCCACCATATCACAGAAAGGAGCCCAAATAGCACATGCATTATCTATATTGTCAGGTCACTTCACCCCTAGTGCCTTGCTATAAGGAAGGATTTCTCAGGCTGAGGCATTCAGGCAGTGGTAGCAATGGAGCAGCTATTTCAGGCAGTGGAACATGGTGCACTATGTATAATTGCATTGAACGGATGCCTCTAGATCAGTATTGTCAATACTAGCTGACATTAGCTCTGTGGAGTTTCAAGTGGGGGTGTTTCTAAGTCTTATTTAGGGCCTTTTCACATTATGCACTTATGACACTACGATTCCTCTTAAGCTGACCTGCTTCCACACCTTAGAGTCCTAGGGTTTATACTGTGGGCCAGTGGTTCCCAATCTGTGGTCCATGGACCACTAGTGGTCCACAAGAACTAAAATATGGTCCACATCAGCTCAAGATTATTAAATATGGTTTTCTGTGTGCGAGCAGATAGTGACTATTGGATGGTGTATGTTTTGCATCAGAAATTAGAGCTGATGTGGTCTATCCAGTGCAATTTTCTGAATCAACACCCCAATCTAAAGTTGTCCAAAAACTTATTCGTAACCGTTTTGGTACTAACGTTAGAGAATAGTCCCTGGTCAAAGTAGTCCCTGGTCAAAAAAAGGTTGGAAACCACTGGTGTAGGGAAAAGAATGGAGAATTTTCAGCCAGAGAACTATAGTGCCTTATGCAACTACATACTCCAGCATTCCATGGGATGTTTCCATGGCAGCTGCAGAGGTATGACAATGCTATAGTTGTGTCGTGTGAAATGGTCCCTGGTGATGGCAGTCATTTCACATGGATCCTTATGCATGCAAACCATGTATCTTAGCACCAAATTATGGTTCCTTCCCTTGTTTGAGAAAACATTGGATCTAGAGAAATCTGTTGGTATCAAAAGATGGCTCCCAGGAGTTCTGACAAAAGAGAAGTAATAATTCAAAAAGTAATGTAGATGTGGTTTCCAACCTCTGGCTTTCCAAATACTTTGGGCTTCAATTCTCGGAATCCTTGACCATTGCTCATGCTGACTAGGCAATCTTGGGACTTGAAATCCAAAACATCTGGAAACGAAAAGATTGAGAACCACTGTGCTAGGAGAAATTGCTTCTCTTTTTTTTACAGAAGGATTTGAATTGTACTCATCAGAAATTGCTAAAAACAATTCAAAATTAAGACTTAAACAATATAGCATTTTAATGTGGCATTTAGAATTAGATACAAGCACACCAAGACTTTTACTCTTAAAAATATGGCTGGAATCTTCTATGGCAGTGGTTCTCAACCTGTGGGTCACCAGATGTTTTGGACTTCAAGTCCCAAAAATCCTAACAGCTGGGAAACTGGATGGATTTCTGTGAGTTGTAGGCCAAAACACCTGGGGACCCCACAGGTTGAGAACCACTGTTCTATGGCCTTTCATGCAATTTAACCTAGCATGCAGTTCCTAAAATGATCAGGTATGTAACAAATGTGTATTGGAAGTTCCCAATACACATAGAACCTGCTCATTTGTGTCTCCCTTTGCATCACTTTGTTATGTAGTTGCAGAACAGCACCCCTCTACTGAAAATGGACTTTGCATGTCTGCATTTCTTACTTCCCTTGTATAAGTTGATCTCATGTATACATTAGAGGCAGGTTTGGTGCCAAAATTATGGATTTTGATTTGGCCCATGGATATGTGGAGGCTGATTCCACAGAGCGGGAAAACAAATGGTTGGATAGAGTATATGTAGTTGCAACAAGCTAAATTTTATAATAAATTCGACCCCATTTTCAAGTTGCTTGTGTGAATAAGTATGCTATCCTCAAATATATGGGATGAAAAAAAATAGTGATTTCATTTATTTATCGTGTGAGAAGCGAACTGAGGGTACAGTTGTTATTTATATAAAAACACCAAGTTTGAAAACTTGGCATTATACTAAAAGTCCTTTGGCCAGTAGCTGGCCACTTGGAGTGCCTCTGGTATTGCTATAAGAAGGTCCTCCATTGTGCATATGGCAAAGCACAGACTTTCACAAAGCTCATAAAGCTAGTTCTTCCTTTCCATTTGGAAAAGGACCTGAAGACAATGCTTTCTCTATTTTTTGATTTAAAAATATATTAAATAATAATTTTTATTTCTGTGGTAGCTTCTACACTGCAGAAACCTAAGAGGTCTTACGGGACTTTTGGACTGTCTAGATTAGGGGTCCTCAAACTAAGGCCTGGGGCCTGGATACGGCCCTCCAAGGTCATTTTCCTGGCCTTTG